CCCTGCAGGGCAGCAGACACAGGCTGGACCATCCACTGGGCCTCCACACCACACCACATGGCCCAGGGGCACATGCTTGTCCCAAGTCTCCCCAGGCCACTGGAAGGACACAAGGCTGGTCCCACCCTTCAGACCCGCTGCAGCCCTCCTGGCATCCCGCTCCCTCCCGTGCCCAGGCCTGCCCGCAGCCGCAGGGGCCTGGGGGAGAGCGAACAGCCAAGGCTGCACCGCACAGCCCAGCACGAGCCCCATGTGGAAGGCCGGGAGCGCCACCTAGTGGCCCTGCAGACGGCTCTGCGCCTCCAGCCCCGGCCAGCCACACGCTGCACCCCAGCCCACGACAGGCAGCACGCACTCGCATGCAAACAAACACCCTGATACCCTAGACACTCGCACACGGACACGCAGGTACATGCCCCTGCACATGTACACACATCAACACTGCATCAGCACGGCCTTCACCCACAGGCGTGCACGGGGCCGGGGGAGGCCGCTGTGCGCACACGGGGACAGTCTGCTGCGAGGCCAACTGAGCCCGGCCCCGCCCGGCCCCCGCCGTGCCATGGCCAAGTGGGGGAAGCAGGGTCCAGGGAACACGTGCTGGAGGAGACACAGCGTAGCTGCATGGCCTGGACTGCACGGCTGGCCGTCCTGGCAGGGCAGCGGGAGGCTCGGCCCACAACCAGTTCTCCGTTTCCCCCGCACGCAGCTTGAGCCGCCTGGGAGGCAGCCCTCGCCACTCGCCACCCTTGGCGCCGTCTCCAAATGCCCCCGGCGTCCAACACCTCTGACCCAGAAGCGTGGACAGGCAGAGGCTGGCGTGAAGCTGCAGATGGCCACTGGGAGGGAGGTGAGTGGACGGACAGCAAGGTGCCCGGGACTGCAAGGGGACCCCAAAAACACAGTCTCACAGCGCAAGACCACAAAGCCTGGCCCAAGCAGCACGACGGTCCCAGGATAGCCCGTCCCCGCCTCCCACAGTGAAGGGCTCTGCAGTGCGCAGTGCAGCCCCCCACGAAGGAGACGGGCCTGGGCTGGCGGGGCCCGTGTCCTCACGGGCTGAGGAGAGGCTGGAAGACGCTGAGGTGGCCGTGAGCCTGGGCCTAGGCCGAGGCCTGCCGTCCACACACCACAGGACCTGCCTGCACTGCGGGCCATCAGCTGGGTCCTGTCCACCACACACAGGGGAGGTGCTCGGGTAACAGCACTCTGGCCTTCGGGGCTGGGGCCCTGGAAGACGCGGGCTCTGCAGCTAGGCCTGACGCCCCCTGGCGGCCATCCCAGGGGCAGTCTCGGGCGGGAGGATTGGGAGGGGATTGGGAGGTCTGGTTGTTTCTTGTTGTCTTTTCTTTGTTTTTTTTTTTTTTTTTTTTTTGAGAGGTTTTCGCTATAGGGCGCGTGCACTCATCAGAAAGACAGAGAGAAAGAGAGAGACAGAAAGCAAGACATCGCCCCCCAGGGGGGATGGCCACGCTGCAATCCCTTCTCCTCCATTCTCCTCTCGGGATCTTGGGCACGCACGCACACATGCCCGGTGTTGGTTTAAGCCACTGGGTCCGGGATTCGAACCGCAGTCAACTACATGGGAGTCCAGCGACATGTTCATTACACCAATGCTGGCCCCTGGGTCGGGCTGTTTTTTCACACAGGTCTCTCCGTGTAGCAACCCTCCTGCCTCAGCCTCAGCTGGGACCGCAGACATGTGACCCCTGGCCCAGCTCTTTTTCCAACACGGGCTCTGTGTGGCCCAAGCTGGCCTCGAGCTCATGATCCTCCCACCTCAGCCTCCCCGAGTCACTGTGGTCACAGGTGCCACCACCTGCTGGGACCAGAATGAAACCTGGGCCTGCAGGGCCCCCAGTACTGGGCTGACGGCTTCTTGAGTCTCGGGAGAGAGGGTGGGGCCGAGGGGGGGACCCCTAGTGCCAGGATTCCGGCTCCTCACAGGGAAGGCCTGAGGGCTGCAGGGCGGGCTGGTTGTTTCTTGTTGTCTTTTTTTTCTTTTTTTTTTTTTTTTTTTTTTGAGAGGTTTTCGCTATAGGGCGCGTGCACTCATCAGAAAGACAGAGAGAAAGAGAGAGACAGAAAGCAAGACATCGCCCCCCAGGGGGGATGGCCACGCTGCAATCCCTTCTCCTCCATTCTCCTCTCGGGATCTTGGGCACGCACGCACACATGCCCGGTGTTGGTTTAAGCCACTGGGTCCGGGATTCGAACCGCAGTCAACTACATGGGAGTCCAGCGACATGTTCATTACACCAATGCTGGCCCCTGGGTCGGGCTGTTTTTTCACACAGGTCTCTCCGTGTAGCAACCCTCCTGCCTCAGCCTCAGCTGGGACCGCAGACATGTGACCCCTGGCCCAGCTCTTTTTCCAACACGGGCTCTGTGTGGCCCAAGCTGGCCTCGAGCTCATGATCCTCCCACCTCAGCCTCCCCGAGTCACTGTGGTCACAGGTGCCACCACCTGCTGGGACCAGAATGAAACCTGGGCCTGCAGGGCCCCCAGTACTGGGCTGACGGCTTCTTGAGTCTCGGGAGAGAGGGTGGGGCCGAGGGGGGGACCCCTAGTGCCAGGATTCCGGCTCCTCACAGGGAAGGCCTGAGGGCTGCAGGGCGGGCAGCCCGGGGAGGGGGTCCCTATGTCACACAGTCTTTGGCCAAGGTCTCTGCAGAGGCCCAAGGGAAGGGGTTAGGAGCACCTTGGAGTGAAGGGCCACTCTTGCGACCGTGGACTTCCCCTGAGAGCCCACTGAGTCCCAGCTGCAGACAACACAGGGCCTGGGGAGGCACAGGGGCCGTGGACCTGCCGAGAGGGTTGGCCCCGTCTCCATCTCAGCAGCGCACCCCTAATGCAGAGCGGGAGGCCGTCTCCCCGGGTCCCAGGGAGGGAGCCAAGCGCAGGCCCAGTGCAGAGTAGAACCCTTGGTGCCGGGAGCCACACGACCCCACAGGCTGCAGGAGGCAGCCATCCCATGGCAGTGAGCAACCTGGGAGCCACACAGAGGCCTGGGTCCAAATCCACGCCCACCCCACCTCAAGCCAGGCGGGGCTGATGGGACCCCTCCACAAGTCCTCCCAGACAGCCTGAGCACCAGGGAGGCAGGTACCGCACCCCTACTGCAGCCAGACTGCCAGGGCGGCGCCGAGGGGGCTGCCCTCCTGCCTGCGGCCAGGCTCAGAGGCTGGGGCTCAGCTCACAGCTAAGAGCGCCCCACCAGCAGGGTCCACCTGCATGCCAGGCTGTGCCCTGGCACTGTGCCCCCATGTCCTGCCCCGTGTGCAGGAGAGCTGTGCTCTCGTGGGCCACAGCCCTACCCTGAGAGGTGGCGACGCTGCGACAACAGAACCCTCCCACTGGCCTAGCAGCAGCCGAGCCCAAGTGGGGAGCAGCTGCCAGGAACACAGAGGGGCAGGCGAGGGGGCCGCTCAGCTGTGCTCCTGGAGAGGCGGGCACAGGGCACACCTCGGGACCACGAGGGGGACGCCAGAGGGACCCCGGCGAGTGCCCTGCAGGCCGGCACACCCACAGCCCGGCACATCCAGGTAAGGAGGCCGCCGCCTGCCCCCCGGGACCTACAGGCCAAGGGCAAGGCAGGGAGGCGCCCAGCACAGCCGCCACCACCCGGGGCCCCGGGCCAGGAGGCTCACCAGGACTTGGGCTCCCCGAAGTGCAGGTAGTTGATGCTGTACAGGTCCATGTCCTCCGTGTGCCAGGCGAAGGTGGTCTTCCACATGCCGAAGTACAGGTAGGGCGTGTTCACGCCCTCGATGATGGTGCCGCACTCTCGCTCCACCATGTCCAGGATGGTCCGCAGGTTGCCGATGTTCCACTGCGCCACGTCCTGTGGGCCAGTGCCGCCCGTCACCGCGGCCCGCCCTGTGGGGCCCTCCGCCACCTCCCACCCAGCGTGGGCTGCTGCACCCAGAGACCACCTCCCGGGCTGACCCTCCAGGGCGCCCTCACACAGAGCCTGGAGGCCCTGGGGGCTGCTGGCCATGTCTCCATGAGGCTGTGAATAAGGAACGCCTCAGGTCAAGGAGGACAATGGCCCAACCTCACAGGGGCAAGGACAGGGACAGCCTCTCCCGCCCCTTCCACCAGACGCTGGCAGAACACGCCACTGCAAACAAGGCCATCGTCCTGAGAGCCCGGAGCCGGAGCCCGGCCGGCCCACCGGCACTCGTGAACACACCCGCCATCCGAGCCCTGCGCCGCTGCAGCCCACAGGCCTCAGCCCTGGCAGGAGCCAGCTCGGGCAGAAGCCACAAAGCTAGGAAGGGGCACCGGGAACGGCCGCCGACCTAACGCCCAGCCGCCTGCCTGGCCACCCACGCAGGCCGTCATCACGTGGCTGGAGAGGGGCCCATGGGGTCTAGCCCGAGCACCCCGTGACGGGGCGAGTCGTCCCTCTGCTGCACACTGGGTTTCCCCAGCTGCAGGCTGAGCGCTCCGTTAGCTCGGGCCTTGTGAAGGCGAGCCCTGGCCCTGGGCAGGGGCTTCGGTTCCCCTTCCCGCCCCAGCACCCACTAAGACCAGGACTCGGGAAGGAGACTCGGAGCAGGAGGTGACTTCGGGGTAAACGCAGGGCCAGGGAGAGGGGTGGGAAAAGGGTGAGAGCCCACTGTTAGCCTGGGCGCCCCTACGTGGACCGTGCTGGGGGGCTGGGGTTCCTGATGGCAGTACTGGGACAGGGCAGCCAGGCCAGCAGGGTGCCTGCTCAGGGCTGGGCGGAAGAGTTTGGCAGGAGCCACTCTGCACCTCGGACTGCCGCCCCCCCAGCAGTCCTAGAGCTGACGCAGCCGGAGCCAGTGACACGCGCGGTGAGCCTTCCTGCGACCCTGAGCACGGCAGCATCGAGGCCCACTCTCGGCCCTTCTCAGCCCTGCCAACAGGGCAGCAGGCCCATCTGTCCTGGCAGGGCCCAGCACTCACATCGTCGTAGAGAGAGCCGCTGATGTCCGCCCCGTAGATGGGGGACACGAAGGTGAGGTTCTTCCAGTACTTGCGCTCCAGGTCGTCGAAGTCCTGGTGTCGAGGGGTACAGTACCTGGGGACGGGCAGCACCCAGAACCACTCAGAGCAGGCCCGGGGGCCGTGGGGTCTGCCCCACCTGCAGGCCCCTCATTCCACCCCCCTGCCCTGCTCCACTACCCAGATGGTAGCCTGCAGCGGCCCTGAGCAGGGTCCCAGGCAGGGATGGGGCCGATCAGCCTCTGAGCAGGGAGCACTGAGCGTGGCCCCCGCGGCCCGGCCGGCACGTACTTCTCGCTGTTGGCCAGGCGGCGGTACTCGCCCACGGTCATGGCCTTCTTCTGGATGTTGTACTGCGTGAAGAGCCCCGACTGGCCCGTCACCACCTGCTGGATGGGCGCCGGGATGACCACGTCGTCGATGTCGTCGTACGTCTGCCGCGGCTTCCCCTCCTTCCGGGGGGTGGACT